TATTGCCTGCTTTCCGTAATCGATATTGACCTTTGCTGCCGAGACTTTCTTGCCGATAATCATAAGGGCAATTATCCGGATTCAGTCTGAAGCTATGGTAAGTAGCTTATGATCGTGGCGACGTGCTCGCCATAATCGTCACTAGCGATAACTATATCGCTGATATAGTAGTGAACGGATAGTGCATCAAGTAGTGTTCGTTGAAATTGCACGTGCAGCCCAGAAGGTGCTGATGTAAACGAATACTGATGCCGACCATGTGTGAAGCTGAACAAATACTGGTCACCTGTGTGGATTGGTAGTCGATGGTAAGCTGATGAGATATCCAACGTTGTGTAATAACGTTTACTCTTCATTTTCGATATTATCTCGCTTATCTTCGTAATCAGAAACTGATCCTCTGGGATCAATGCATTAACTGCTCGTATTTCGAGGCATACCCTCACCTTCCTGACAGTGCCTTCACTGTGAAACCTGGAGACTGCTAGCAACGGGGAGTTCACTAATGTTGATGTGGTCCACTTCTTAATTACAAGATCACGCTTTTAGGGTTTAGGAGCCGACACGAAGTTGCGTATCAACCTTCGCATGTCCATAGCCTGATCATGGGTTACGGCTATGGCTACCTCGCTCCCCTCCAGGCGACCACGTGCGCTATCTATGATGGCGGCGTTATTATCGTGTTTAACTCATAGCTGATCCCGTATGCCCGTCGTTTTTATCTACAAACTTAATGTTAGATGTACAACCACCAACGGAAGTAGGGAGGCCAGTTTCAAGATCGACATGGAAAATGATACCGATTGGAGGACGAGTTGCAGGATCATTAAGCATGTGGGATATAGGGCGTCGACGCATTTTGCTGGTAGCACAGGTGGTACAAAAGGACGTATCCGTGGGATGGGCAAGAACATCAGCCTCAGCACTAAGAAGTTCGGCAGTAGGTGGGACAGCATGGCGAGTATTGCCGAGTTGAGCGATGCAGATATACCGCCAACGAGGGGCGTGAACCACTTCAGAGCCATTGCTGTTGGACGCGGTACGGATAATCTCGACGTGGGAGTACAGCTGGAGTAATGTTTGTTGATAACATTTGATGTGAGGCGCAGGGGGGGAAAGTTCGGCAGTAGGTGGGACAACATGGCGAGTATTGCCGAGTTGAGCGATGCAGATATACCGCCAACGAGGGGCGTGAACCACTTCAGAGCCATTGCTGTTGGACGCGGTACGGATAATCTCGACGTGGGAGTGCAGCTGGAGTAATGTTTGTTGATAACATTTGATGTGAGGCGCAGGGGGGGAAACAACGGTGACAGAGCCATTTTCACTGTCAAGCTTATTGAGCGTAGCGGTCCAGATCTTCTTTGTGAAGGGAATGTTGCCGTAGAGATGGGCCTTATCTTGATTCCACGACTGGGCGAAAAAATCGTAGAGAGGCGCGTCGGCTTCAAGGCTACAATAGTGTGGGAACCTGAGCATTGTTTTTGCTCGCGAAGAGATTAATGTCGACGGGACCAAAGGGTTCAGTGGCGTGTTTTTTAAAATAAATCAGGGTGCAATTTCCAATTATCGGTTGATTCACTGCGTTGTGTGTACGTTTCAATATTGTTGGTACTGAGAGTGGGGCGAAGCATGCGAGGATGGGTGTGTACAGTGACATGATGTCAATCGTGAAGTGTGGTAGGTGTGAAGGTGGTGATTTTATAAAGGCCTTGTGTATCTTTAGTGTACATAGTGCTGCCGTTGGGGTGGTTGATGACACACTCGGTAGGATGTGATGTGTCGCGTTGCGGAGGAAAGGTAATGCGAAAACCATGCGTTGTAATAGGCGGACAGAAAGATGTGGCATGATGAGAACGGGACCAAGACCGGGAAGATGACCACGTTGTGTGAGTGTGATCTGGGATTTGTCGGGGAACTCCACAATAAAGACACCACTTTCGAGATTGATAATACCGTGGGTAGTGTTACGAATATGAATCATGGCGCCGGAATCAATAAGGGAACTAGCGACAAAGGAGGTTAGTATAGGTCCATGGCAAGAAGTAGCACTGTGTACAGTGTAATGTTCTGTAGGTATGGAGGTGTCCATAGGGAGAAAACGATGTGGGGACAACCCGGAATGTATGCCATAGTGGACCCCGTGTAGCATCTAGGGACCAGATTATCAAAAGCCAATACAACTCCCAAAACCCAGAATCATCAAATACTGAGTTTTGGAATTAGGAATGTAATATTTCTGAACCGGTAAGATAAACCAGGACTCCCGCATGTGAGAGAAACACTCAAGTAAATCCTGAGTCTAGTGAAAATACAAATAAAGACTCAGTTCGGTTCTATCAGATTAGGGTCTTTTCCTAGCTGAGATAACCGTACTTGAGAAGAAGTCTATTGTATCCTTTTGTCTCGTACCTTTCAGCTACTCTCCATACTCTACACCCGTGGTTTCACTTGGAGAGACACACGGTGGCATTGTGACCTGGACGGGAGCAGTGGGAACAGAAAAGTGTGGAATGGTCCACGGGACATTTGTTGCCTTTGTGGTCATTGGTGCCACAACGACGACAATAGGAATCGGGGCATTCAAAAATACTGTGGCCTGACTGAGCACAAATAGGACAAGGCTTATTACGGCGAGGATTACTAGTGATAGAAGGGGTTGAAGGATTGCCAACTGTAAGAGCGTTTAAACCGGAAGGAGAAGGAGAGACGTCAAGATGATGATCGTCTGTGAATTTCATGACTTTCGTGTAGACATCATCGATGGTGAGAGCATAAAGTCATGAGCGAAGATGTCAGAACGAAGGAGTTGGTAGTCATCACTGAAACTGTATAAAAGAGCGCAAATAAGATGCTTATCAGAAACGACTTCTCCGACATCAAGAAGATGTTGGTGGATGGCTTCCAGGGCTTGAAGAGTTAAATCGGGAGACCTGATGGCGGTGAAATTGATGAGGGATTTCATGGCAGTCCAGACGCGACCATGACCGCCAGTATTGGTGGTGAGGCAGATGTGTTTAAAGAAGGCATGGGGTGCCTTGGACACATGAGACTTGTAAATAGAATTAATTAGAGACTCATTGATAGAGTCAGTGAGAATGCGGCGGCAGCGGGCGTCGGCGAGCATGTCGGGGCCGCCTCTGACGGAGACGTTGTCACATTGAGGGTGAAGGCGATGGAGAACACCAAAGTGTCCAAGTTCCATACGGAGGCCAATGTGCCAGTTGCCGAAGTTAGTATAATCCTAAAGTTTGGTGCGCTTGTAAATATCCTTGTATTTAGGGCAGTCGGTGATGGCAGCAGCAGGCTTGGTGGGAGAGATGCCGTATTTTTCAGCGATGGACTGAGGTTTCTTGTGCACATGACGAAGAACCTGGAGTTGATCAAGGGCAGTTTGAAGGTCGGCACGAACAGTAGTAACTTGGTCTTGAAGAAGGGAAGAGTCCCGGTCAGACTTGAGTTCATCCTGGAGGAGAGTTTCAGTATGAGCAAGCTTTTCAAGGGCGTCGTCGAGACGGCGCTTAAGAATATCCCTTTCACGCTCATTGAGCTCGTATTCCAAGTCAATGGACTTCTGTTTGTAGCGCGTAGCATCGTCGTGAAATTGGTCACGGGTGGTTTTAATGCGATGAGCATTGGTGCGCGAGACAACGAGGTGAGCTAGGAGGACAGCTGTGCTGACGGGGATGTCGTAAGCAACGAGTTGGAATTCATTGAGCAAGTCATGAATGCTAAGTAAGTGCGTGTTTGCCTCGTCAAGCGTCTGGTATGGAGGATAACTAAGGCCAATGATCATCATGAAATGTAATAGCACCTTCGAGAGAGTCGAAAGCCTGGGGTAGAGTGAAGACTTCAATGGAAGAAGCCATGGTGAGCGACTGTGTGTATACCCGTGTTTGTGGTACCCGTGGGCGTGTAACGCGTAGAGTAGCTGAATGCGAAGGGTATGAGAGAGAGTAGAGACACTATTATGGCGTAGTAGTCTAGTGTAGGCTACATAGGCCCATAACTTGTTAAACCATATAGAACTATGAATAGAGTAACTTTTATTATCCCTTTTAGCAGGGTTATATTTTCTATAAGCAATGTGATAGTTTACACGAAACTATATCATATAATCTGTGAGTGTCATAATATGTTGACACTATGACATGTGGAGTGAGTGTCATAATATTTTGTCACTATGACATGTGTCAGTTCTCGTGTGTACTATACTCAGTACCGAACTGCTATTGTATAGGAGATAAGAAGAACAACGTTGATTTTGGTCTAACAATATATATATATATATATCTATATATATATAT